TACCCACGATACATCACGGTTTTGATGCTCCCGAACAGGGCCTCTCACTCTCTATAATTTCTTATTGTTGTCATTGAAAGGGGGGTGTGCTTCTGTTAAAGGGATAGTTCAGCTCAGTTATCCAATTTTTGGTAACACTTAAAGGGGCAATCTGCAGTTGCTACATCCATTTGTTGACTTATAAATAAATTATATGTACCCATTGATTCTTGTAGAATATAGCTTATAAAAGCCTCATGAACTTAGTCCAACTGTCCTACCCCATCAGAACCCAAAATATAAGCTTGTTTTACTCCAGTGTTTGTAAACAAAGTACATGTAAACGAACACTGTCATTTTGATGTTATAGATGGTCAGGCCTGGCATCCATAGTCAACAGCTTGATGTACAAGTACACCCCCTGGACAGGATGCTAGTCTATCTCAGGGCCATACCTCCAATCTATCTCCTTAATGCTGAGTGCCAAGCAGAGAAGCGTCATGGTCCATGGTCTTTGATATGACTCGGCCGGGGATGCGAACTCCCAACTTTCCAATCTCAGGGCGAACACTGTAACCACAAGGCCACTGATCCGTTTAAAGGGATAGATCACCCAAATTACACAGTAACATGGTTTCCTTAACCTGTAAGCAGTCTACGGACAAGGTAAGACAGCAATCAATGCTTTGGTTTTGTTTACCCGGTGACTGTCTCCAAATGCTAACTTAAACCAACATGTAATTTTGTAATTTGGAGGAACTACCCCTTTAAGTTGCAGCTATACCTGTGTAGCAACAATGTCATTACACCAGTAACAACATTTAGCATCCATGTTGTTAGTAGTAATCACAGCGCACAGAGCAACTTGGTTTTTCTCATCTTCTGGATACCTAAAACACCTAGTCTATCAGCCTGGAGAGTCAGCGGCAAGGAGTTTACATAGGATATGGTCCTATTCCCTATTTAATGCACTACCTCCCAACAGAGCCCAGTGGGCTGGATTCAAAGTGGATTCTAACTTAGTGTTGGTCTGGCCAAGCACTCATATTGCTTATGACTTGACATTTGTCCATTGAATGCCGACTTTTTCATGAAAACTGAATGGCAAGCCACTATTCATGTCCAAACCTGATAATCAGCATGCTAATGTGTGCAAAGCCTTTGATCACAGCATTTTTGCTTTATAAGCCCTTCCACTGTCATCTCCAGGCAGGCTGAGTCTGTGATAATTAATACAGTGCATTCGGAAAGTATTCAGACCCCTTCCCTTTTTCCACATTTTGTTGCTTTACAGCCTTATTCTAAAATGGAACATCCTCATCAATCTACACACAATACCCCATAATGACAAAGTGAAAATAGGTTTTTATGAATTTTCGCAAAATGTGTTAAAAATAAAAAACATAAATACCTTATTTACGTAAGTATTCAGACACTTTGCTATGAGACTGGAAATTGAGCTCAGGTGCATGCTGTTTCCATTGATCATCCTTGAGATGTTTCTACAACTTGGAGTCCACCTGTGGTAAATACAAGTGATTGGACATGATTTGGAAAGGCACACAGATGTCTATATAAGGTCCCACAGTTGACAGTGCATGTCAGAACAAAAACCAAGCCATGAGGTCGAAGGAATTGTCCGTAGAGCTCCGAGACAAGATTGTGTTGAGGCACAGATCTGGGGAAGGGTACCAGAAAATCCCCAAGAACACAGTGGCCTACATCATTCTTAAATGGAAGAAGTTTGATACCACCAAGACTCTACCTAGAGCTGGCTGCCCGGCCAAACTGAGCAATCGGGGGAGAAGGGCCTTGGTCAGGGAGGTGACCAAGAACCCGATGGTCACTCTAACATAGCTCCAGAGTTCCTCTGTGGAGATGGGAGAACCTTCCAGAAGGACAACCATCTCTGCAGCACTCCACCAATCCGGCCTTTATGGTAGAGTGGCCAGACGGAAGCCACTCCTCAGTAAAAGGAACATGACAGCCCACTTGGAGTTTGCCAAAAGACGGTGCATGATGTCCTGGTTCTTCCATGTCAACCAAGGCTCAAACCAGCAGCCCCCTGGCATGATGCCCCCAGCTGCTGGCACCCTGTCCAGCAACACACACTATCCCAACGTCAGTAGCAACACACTGAATACAGCTAACACTGCTGGACAGGGTTGGCTCTGCGCACAGTCCAGTTCGTCTTCACCCAGCCAGGCAGACTTTCCGTCAGTACCACAGGGTTTAGTGCCTCCCAGCTTGGAGAACCTATCTTGTACCTCTCTGAACTCAGCGGCAGGCAGAGAGCCCCTGCCACTCTCCTACGTAACTCTTCAGGAGCAGCGTTGTGTATTGAGCTGGTTCCTGAGCTGGGCCACTGCCCAGAGGGAACGGTTTCTGCAGGACCTGTTGGGGAAAGCTGTGCCAGGGAAAGTGTGTACCCTCCTCGAGTCGCTCAACACGCTACAGGTTAAGGACAGCCCACCAAATATCTCTGAGTGCCAACTGCGCCTCTGGACCCAAATGGTTTGAGTCATGGAGTGAGGAGGAGAGGAACAGTTTCCTGCACATTCTAGAAGAGAGGGACCCGATCTTTGTTGCCCACTTCTACAGAGGTGTAGCTGGGACAGCAGGCAGGGATTGAGGGATACGGGAGAAGAGGGTGTAGAATGGATAGACAATGCGTGGGTGGTAGACAGATAGAAACAAGTAAAGTTGGAGTGGTACATGGGGATGCATATGTGTGGAGACAGTGAAGAACGGGGGGGGGGTGGTTAAGAGCGTTGGGCCGGTAACTGAAAGGTCGCTGGTTCGAATCCCCGAGCCAACTAGGTGAAAAATGTTGATGTGCCCCTAGGTGAAAAATGTCGATGTGCCCTTGAGCTAGGCACTTAACCCTAATTGCTCCTGTAAGTCGCTCTGGATAAGAGCGTCTGCTAAATGACTAAAATATAAATATAAATAAATATATAAATAAATATAAATATAAAAGACACCTAAAGACTCTCAGAACATGAGAAACAAGATTCTCTGGTCTGATGAAACCAAGATTGAACTCTTTGGCCTGAATGCCAAGCGTCACGTCTGGAGGAAACCTGGCACCATCCCTATGGTGAAGCATGGTGGTGGCAGCATCATGCTGTGGGGATGCTTGTCAGCCACAGGGACTGGGAGACTAGTCAGGATCGAGGGAAATATGAATGGAGCAAAGTACAGGAGATCCTTGATGAAAACTGGGGTGAAGGTTCACCTTCCAACAGGACAACGACCCTAAGCACAAAGCCAAGACAACGCAGGAGTGGCTTCGGGACAAGTCTCTGAATGTCCTTGAGTGGCCCAGCCAGAGCCCGGACTTGAACCCGATCGAATATCTCTGGAGTGACCTGAAAATAGCTGTGCAGCGACGCTCCCCATCCAACCTGAGAGGATCTGCAGAGGAGAATGGGAGAAACTCCCCAAATACAGGTGTGCCAAGCTTGTAGCGTCATACCCAAGAAGACTTGAGGCTATAATCGCTGCAAAAGGTGCTTCAACAATGTACTGAGTAAAGGGTCTGAATACTTAGGTAAATGTGATATTTCCGTTTTGAATTTTTTATACATTTCTAAAAACATTTCTAAAAACCTGTTTTTGAGGGTAATGTGTGTAAATTGATGAGGGGGAAAAACGACTTAATCCATTTTAGAATAAGGCTGTAACATAACAAAATGTGGAAAGAGTCAAGGGGTCTGAATACTTTCCGACCCCTTGGGGTCAGAGAGAAACACTGTACACAACACAAGGACAAACAGTACACACACACTCATGCACACACACACACACACACACACACACACACACACACACACACACACACACACACACACACACACACACACACACACACACACACACACACACACACACACACACACACACAGTATAGCCCAGGAATCCTGCAGTGGAAGGCAGTACGAGTTATTTCTGTGCTTGCAGAGGGGGGTTCATTTAAGATACTCTTTGAAGAGGTAGGGTTTCAGACGTTTTTGGAAGATGGGCAGCAACTCTGCTATCCTAGCTTCAGGAAATACATTTATAGGATTATAGGAAATACATTTTCACGTAATGTACTTAATTATATTTTTTAGAAGAGACTTCTAGTAAATAACTTCTGTGTTTTAGAAAATGACTGACCTCCGGTAGTTTGATCGCTATAGAGGTAGTGCCTGGTGTAACTGGGCCGTAACAGGAACATCTACAAATACAAATAGTCTACTAACCAAATGGTACCCTATTCCCTAATTAGTGCAGCATATTTGACCAGGTCCCGTAGGGCTTTGGTCAAAAATAGTGCACTTAGGGTGCAATTTGGGACATAGCCAGTGACCTCTCTTATCCTGTGAAGTCGCCCCACAGGACATTCTGTGTACTGTGTGACTAATCTGAAATCTACATGTAAATGCATGTGTTATTGTGGCTGCCAACCAGGGGAGCTTCATCACAGCTGTGCTGTTTCCCATTACTCCAGCAGCCAACATACTGTTGATCATTTTAACACACAGTACTGTGAAGGCAAGATTACTTACATGGCACGTGTTCCCTCTACAGGGCACTACTTTTGACCTGGGCCCTGGTCAAAAGCAGTGCACTATATAGTGTAGGGAATATGGTGCAATTTGGGACATAGATGGTCAAAAGCAGAGCACTTTATAGGGAATATGGTGCAATTTGGGACAGCTTTGACATAATGTGAAATGTTTCCTGTCTCACTCTCCCTGTTTGTTCTGCCTTTCAAACAGTATAGTGTACATACATTAGTGTCCCGTACAAGCATCTATACTTCTGAAGATGAGATGCTAAAAGCTAAATGTTACCTTTTTCCCCGTTTCTCTTCTCCCCATAGTGATGACTTCTGCTGATGGAATGAGAGGCCCGCACATGGAATTCCTTAATATCAGTATAATATTTTAGCCCAGCACCGGTATTCTCAAGTTTAGGATGTACATATCACCTTCCTTTTCTTCTCCCCATAGTGATGGCCTCTACTGAGCAGCACTGCTCCAGCTCCCACCAGCAGCACTGTGCATAAGAAACACCAGAAACACCTTCGCCCTCCTGCTGCCAAGCCAGACAGAGAGACACACAGCACCATGTACAGCGTGGACGATCTCCTCATTTCTCACGGATACAAACTGGCCAAGACAAGCGTCCCCTGCCCCTCTTCCACTTCATCCGCCACCGCACCTTGCGAGAAAAAGCGCCACGTCGCCGCCACGACCGATTGCCACCGTGAAATCCCAGCAGCAGAGAACCAGAGGCCTGGTCGTGTTGGATCACTGAACGGGTATGAACAGGCGGGAGACAGGGGGGCCTGCGTCTTCAGGAGCAGCAGCAGGCAGGCATTACTGGCGAAGGCCTACCCCGGCAGCGGCGACAATGAGAGCGGCGGGGAAAGGAACCAAAGGAGAAAAGAAGCTGGCAGCGGTAACCTAGGTGACAGCCTAGCACAGCCCCTGGGAGATTCTCTCGCCACGGATAGCGGGTGAGTTGTTCCCTCCTTTTCTCCCTCTGTCTCTCTCTTTTGAACCCCCCCTTCCTTCCAGAGCTGTAGAACGAACACTGAGGCTTTCTGCACCACTGTGATATCATCTGATATGGCACCCTATTCCCTACATTCCCTATGGGCCTTGGTCAAAAGTAGTGCACTATATAGGGAATAGGGTGCTTTGTGCTGTGATATGATGAGGAATAATGTAAAGGTGCCGTCCTTCTGCGCTGTTGGCTTGTTTACATTGCGATGTGAATCCATGCTTAAAGAGAGCACTTGTCTTTCCATGGAGTCAGTCCACCCCTCCACCACCAGCAGCGGCAGCATCTCTACCAACACACAGACAGGTACACAGCCTGCGTCACAAATGGTACCCTATTCTATATTTAGTCCACTACTTTTAACCAGAGCCCAATGGGCCCTGTAGTGCACTAAATATAATCCCCTATTCCCTACATTCCCTATGGGCCCTGGTCAAAAGTAATGGACTATATAGGGAATAATGTGTCATTTGGGACGCGGCCACACCATGTAAACCAGCAGCACAGGACGCTGGGCTGGGTAGCTTGCTGTACGTGATGCCTAGAGAGCGTAACCAACCCACTACACTGTAAACAGCTCAGGTGCCGTGCACCGCTCACACACTCCGCAGAGCGAGGATGCCGCTGGACAAGTGTGTACTAGTTCACATACCCATACACACAAAACGAATGTCTGTGTTGATGTTACATATTACTCGCTGGATGATAGTGTATAAAGTGGAAACGTCCCAAATGGCACCCTATTCCCTATTTAGTGCACTACTTTTGATCAGGGCCAATAAGTCACTATATAGGGAATAGGGTGCTATTTGGGATGCTGCCATGATGGATGATACTATTCTCCAATGGATGTAGTTGTCATCAAAGGACTCTTCCCAGTCTCCAGTAGCTGTGGTTGTTCAGACAGACTATAGATATAGATACTGCATAGACTCATAGAGATACATCTCCATAATGCTCAGAAGAGATTATATCGAAGTCCTTCCCACTACATTCCCTGATATTCACTTCATTACTACGGATACTGTATATGACTGATACTGTATATTGCCAGTTCAGATCATTCACTCAAATAACTCATTGCCAGATAACTGGTTTTTTTTTTTTTTTTACATATGATTGTCTGAGTTACTTCCAGAAAAAAGTTCCTTTGTCATTATTATCGCGTCACTCTGTCTACTGTTAAGGCCTATCCTAAATACCCAGGGTGCAATTTGGGAAGCAACGCTTTACTCCATAACAACAGGCCCAGCCCCTCTTCCCGCTGTGCAGAGGACTGAGAGCATGTATGAATGTGACTGACCATGTTAAGATAATCAGGTACATCACTCAGCCTGAAGGGACACTCTTTTTTTGATTTGATGATTTAAAAAAAATCAGAATCATTATTACACAATTAAATTCAATCCTATTTTTGGGATCCCCGTAACATTGGATGAAATGGCTAAGAAAAAAGAATATGGAGTCGTCTGTCCCTGCAAGATAATAAGATAATGTCTTTATTGTCCCCGTGGGGACATAGACAAGGACACATACAGACAATAAATACATGTTGATTGAACATAGACAAGGACACATACAGATAATAAATACATGTTGATTGCGGCTCTGTGCATACAGTGGAGAAAAAAAGTATTTAGTCAGCCACCAATTGTGCAAGTTCTCCCACTTAAAAAGATGAGAGAGGCCTGTAATTTTCATCATAGGTACACGTCAACTATGACAGACAAAATGAGGAAAAAAATCCAGAAAATCACATTGTAGGATTTTTTATGAATTTATTTGCAAATGATGGTGGAAAATAAGTATTTGGTCAATAACAAAAGTTTCTCAATACTTTGTTATATACCCTTTGTTGGCAATGACACAGGTCAAACGTTTTCTGTAAGTCTTCACAAGGTTTTCACACACTGTTGCGGGTATTTTGGCCCATTCCTCCATGCAGATCTCCTCTAGAGCAGTGATGTTTTGGGGCTGTCGCTGGGCAACACAGACTTTCAACTCCCTCCAAAGATTTTCTATGGGGTTGAGATCTGGAGACTGGCTAGGCCACTCCAGGACCTTGAAATGCTTTTTACGAAGCCACTCCTTCGTTGCCCGGGCGGTGTGTTTGGGATCATTGTCATGCTGAAAGACCCAGCCACGTTTCATCTTCAATGCCCTTGCTGATGGAAGGAGGTTTTCACTCAAAATCTCACGATACATGGCCCCATTCATTCTTTACCTTACACAGATTAGTCGTCCAGGTCCCTTTGCAGAAAAACAGCCCCAAAGCATGATGTTTCCACCCCCATGCTTCACAGTAGGTATGGTGTTCTTTGGATGCAACTCAGCATTCTTTGTCCTCCAAACACGACGAGTTGAGTTTTTACCAAAAAGTTATATTTTGGTTTCATCTGACATTCTCCCAATCCTCTTCTGGATCATCCAAATGCACTCTAGCAAACTTCAGACGGGCCTGGACATGTACTGGCTTAAGCAGGGGGACACGTCTGGCACTGCAGGATTTGTGTCCCTGGCGGCGTAGTGTGTTACTGATGGTAGGCTTTGTCACTTTGGTCCCAGCTCTCTGCAGGTCATTCACTAGGTCCCCCCGTGTGGTTCTGGGATTTTTGCTCACCATTCTTGTGATCATTTTGACCCCACGGGGTGAGATCTTGCGTGGAGCCCCAGATCGAGGGAGATTATCAGTGGTCTTGTATGTCTTCCATTTCCTAATAATTGCTCCCACAGTTGATTTCTTCAAACCAAGCTGCTTACCTATTGCAGATTCAGTCTTCCCAGCCTGGTGCAGGTCTACAATTTTGTTTCTGGTGTCCTTTGACAGCTCTTTGGTCTTGGCCATAGTGGAGTTTGGAGAGTGACTGTTTGAGGTTGTGGACAGGTGTCTTTTATACTGATAACAGGTGCCATTAATACAGGTAACGAGTGGAGGACAGAGGAGCCTCTTAAAGAAGAAGTTACAGGTCTGTGAGAGCCAGAAATCTTGCTTGTTTGTAGGTGACCAAATACTTATTTTCCACCATTTATTTGCAAATAAATTCATTAAAAATCCTATAATGTGATATTCTGGATAATTTGTCTGTCATAGTTGACGTGTACCTATGATGAAAATTACAGGCCTCTCTCATCTTTTTAAGTGGGAGAACTTGCACAATTGGTGGCTGACTAAATACTTTTTTTCCCCACTGTACATAAAAACACACAACACACATACAGACAATAAATACAAGTATAAAAATAAGTTCATAAGCCATCAGTGATCATCTGTACACTATATACTCCATACACGTCAGCACACTCTGTCATCTACAATGTCAACTGTAGGCCAGCCCACTGGTGGTGCTTGTGGTTTTAAACATTCAGGAGCCTTACTGCCGCTGGGACAAAGGATTGTTTGGCTGTATTTATTTTCTGCCCTGGTGCCTTCCCGGTACATCGCCCTGAGGGGAGTACCTCAAACTCCTGGTAAAGAAGATGTCTGGGGTCCAGCAATACCTTGTGTGTGTGTGTGTGTGTGTGTGGACATCACGTGATCACATAACTGGCACTTATAAACAAGGAAAGTTAAGTATTTTTGCTCAGCGGCAGGCAGGCAGTGCATATTACCAGGGCTGCGTCCCAAATGAATCAAATCAAATCCAATTTATAATACAACAGGTGTAGACTTAACAGTGAAATGTTTGCTTACAAACCTTTCCCAACCATGCAGAGTTTAAAAATAATAATAAAATATAAAATAGTAAATAACACGAGGAATAAAATAAAATACACAAGAATGGAGCTATATACAGGGAGTACCAGTACCAGACCAATGTGCAGAGGTACAAGGTATTTGAGGTAGATACCGTATGTACATGAAGGCAGGGTAAAGTGACTAGGCATCAGGATAGATAATAATAAGGTATTTTAGGTATATATGTACATGAAGGCAGGGTAAAGTGACTAGGCATCAGGATAGATAATAATAAGGTATTTGAGGTAGATACCGTATGTACACGAAGGCAGGGTAAAGTGACTAGGCATCAGGATAGATAATAATAAGGTATTTGAGGTATATATGTACATGAAGGCAGGGTAAAGTGACTAGGCATCAGGATAGATAATAATAAGGTATTTGAGGTAGATACCGTATGTACATGAAGGCAGGGTAAAGTGACTAGGCATCAGGATAGATAATAATAAGGTATTTGAGGTATATATGTACATGAAGGCAGGGTAAAGTGACTAGGCATCAGGATAGATAATAATAAGGTATTTGAGGTAGATATGTAGGTGAAGGCAGGGTAAAGTGACTAGGCATCAGGATAGATAATAAGAAGGTATTTGAGGTATATATGTACATGAAGGCAGGGTAAAGTGACTAGGCATCAGGATAGATAATAATAAGGTATTTGAGGTATATATGTACATGAAGGCAGGGTAAAGTGACTAGGCATCAGGATAGATAATAATAAGGTATTTGAGGTATATATGTACATGAAGGCAGGGTAAAGTGACTAGGCATCAGGATAGATAATAATAAGGTATTTGAGGTAGATATGTACATGAAGGCAGGGTAAAGTGACTAGGCATCAGGATAGATAATAATAAGGTATTTGAGGTAGATATGTACATGAAGGCAGGGTAAAGTGACTAGGCATCAGGATAGATAATAATAAGGTATTTGAGGTAGATATGTACATGAAGGCAGGGTAAAGTGACTAGGCATCAGGATAGATAATAATAAGAGTAAAATAATTAACAGAGTAGCAGCAGCATATGATGAGTGTAAAAGTGTGTGTGTGAGTGTGCGCATGTGTGTGTATGTATGTGTGTTTGTGTTGTGTCGTCATGCATGTGTGTGTGTTATGTGTGTGTGTGTGCGTCATGTATGTAGTGTATGTGATTGTGTGACGGTTTTGTGTGGGAATGACAGTGTAGTGTGTGTGAATGAGTCAGTGTGTATATGGTGTGTATATAAAGTCTAGTGAGTGTGCGTAGGGTCAGTGCAAGACAGAGTCAGTGCAGATAGTTCAGGTAGCATTAATTGACTATTTAGCAGTCTGGCTATGGCTTATGGCTTGGGGATAGAAGGAGCCTGTTGGTTCCGAGAGCCGATGCTCCGGTATCGTTTGCCGGACGGTAACAGAGTGAACAGTCTATGGCTTGGGTGGCTGTAGTCTTTGGTAATTTTTGGGCCTTCCTCTGACACCGCCCGGTATAGAGGTCCTGGATGTCAGGGAGCTCGGCTCCAGTGATGTATTGGGCTGTCCGCACCACCCTCTGTAGCGCTTTGCGGTCAAGGGTGGTGCAGTTGCCATACCAAGCGGTGATGCAGCCAGTCAAAATGCTCTCAATGGTGCAGCTGTATAACTTTTTGAGGATCTGAGGGCCCATGCCAAATCTTTTCAGCCTCCTGAGGGGGAAGAGGCACTGCAGTGCCCTCTTCACTACTGTGCGGGTTTATGTGGACCATGTTAAGTCCTTCATGATGTGGACGCCAAGGAACTTGAAGCTCTCGACCCGCTCCACAACAGCCCTGTCAATGTGGATGGGGGCGTGTTCTCCCCTCTTTCTCCTGTAGTCCACGATCAGCTCCTTGGTCTTACTGACGTTGATGGAGAGGTTGTTGTCCTGGCACCACACTTCTAAGTCTCTGACTTCCTCCCTGTAAGCTGACTCATCGCCGTCGGTGATCAGGCCTGCCACTGCCGTGTTGTCACCAAACTTGATGATGGTGTTGGAGTCGTACGCGGCAACGCAGTCGTGGGTGAACAGGGAGTACAGGAGGGGACTAAGCACACACCCCTGAGGGTCCCCGTGTTGAGGGTCAGCATGGCGGAGGTGTTGTTGCCTTCCCTCATCACCTGGGGCAGGCACGTCAGGAAGTCCAGGATCCAGTTGCAGAGGGAGGGGTTCAGTCAAAGGGTCCCTACCTTGGTGATGAGTTTGGAGGGGACTATGGTGTTGAACGCTGAGCTGTAGTCTATGAACAGCATTCTCACATAGTTATCTCCCTCCTGTCCAGGTGGGCGAGGGCAGTGTGAAATGCAATTGAGATTGCGTCATCTGTGGATCTGTTGGGGCGGTATGTGATTTGGAGTGGGTCCAGGGTGTCTGGGATGATGGTGTTGATGTGTGTCATGAACAGCCTTTCAAAGCACTTCAAATGGCACCCTATTCCCTGCATAGTGCACTACTTTTGACCAGAGAGCCCTATGAACCCTGGTGAAAAGTAGGACACTATATAGGCAATAGGGAGCCATTTGGGACGAATCCCAGCTTTCTGAATTAAGGTCAGCGTGTGTTTTAAAATGCAGATCATATTGCAGCAGCCGCACAATTTCACGGTATCTTCAAGGGAGTTGGGAGCCGCTGACTCAAGCACTTCTGTCAGATATGTGTGCTGCCTGACTCTGCCCTCTTGGATTGGAGATGGAGAGATTGATTCCTAGGCTTCGTCCCAAATGGCACCTTGTTCCCTATGTAGTATGGAAAATACTGCTCAAAAGTAGTGCACTATACAAGGAATAGGGTGCCATTTGAGACGCAGCCCTCTTCTTCACTCCCAATGCCAAAACATCAGCTTGGAGGCTAGCCAGACACACCAGCGTTTAAAATGTCACAGTTATCAATATCTCCCAGATCGCATCAAATCATGGCAGGCTGGTCAGCATTGTGTCATCACAGTTAAACGGAGTACGGAGCGCTGGTATGGTTCCATGAGATAGAGTTCCAGATGAAGCTCATTCATGATTTTTTTCCCTCTTTGATCTTGTTTTGTGGGAGTCAGATTCTGCTTCTGCGATGAAGTGTTAGAATGTGTTCCAAATGGTTCCCTATTACCTAAATAGTGTACTACATTTGACCAGGGCATAGTGCACTATATAGGGAGTAGGGTGCCAATTGGGATTCAACCATAGACTGGCAGGTCATGGAAAGGTCAGTAAACTGAATTCTGTTGGTATTACAAGCTTATAAATCTATGAACGGAAATGCTTCGAGTTTTGTTATTTTTGGTGTAACCTAGACAAATGTTTGGCAATTTATTAACATGCAAAAACCAAATAATCCTATATCCAGGTTTTTTGTATTACAACTAACATGTTCACAGTTTATAATATGTTTTGATGTAAGACTCTTTCTTTCTTTCTTTCTTTCTTTCTTTCTTTCTTTCTTTCTTTCTTTCTTTCTTTCTTTCTTTCTTTCTTTCTTTCTTTCTTTCTTTCTTTTTATTTTATATCTTCATTATATGACGATCACCAACCAATTGTGCTTTGATGTCTTTCCAGGTTCTACGACGCACCCAGCTTAACCTATTCTGAGCAGCTGGAGGAGAGGGATGTGTCCTACTGGAGGAGGAGAGGCCAGGACTTCAGCGTCCTCCTGGATTACGCCGACGGCCGGGAGCTGAGAGCGTCCGCTAGCTTTCTGAAGGCCTCTGAGGTGGCATGGAGGCCACAGGCCCTGATAGCAGAGGACCATAGGGGGGAGAGGGAGAAGCAGCAGCAGAAGCAGCTATGGGACGACACCTCCATCTCCTGGCTGAGGGAAGCTGACGCGGCTCCTGGACAGCTGAGGGTATTGACTGGGGTGACTGGGGAGCGGAAGTGCCAGAGCCTGGGCACAGAGGAGTGGAAGCCTGCGGTGGGGCTGGGGAGGCAGCTGTCGGATGGGGAGGGCGAGAGGTGGGCTCAGGACCAGCAGCACCGCCTGAGGACTCCAGAGAGCGCTGGTTCTGTCCTCCCCAGAACCAGAGGGAAGTCCCAGTCTCTCCCCAGAGTGCTGTCGCCTGATGGAACTACTGAACACACAGACACACAGTCCAGCTTGGTCAGTGTCCAGCTTCGACCGGGCCAGGTTGATAGACAGAGAGTGAACAGCACCGTCTTTTCCGGGCCTTATAGTAGGTATTACCACAGCGCCGCAGTCGGCCGGGACCGGTGGGCCAGGAACAGTTGGCAAAGCGGCGGTCATGTTGCACTTTTACCAAAGCCCAGGTTCAGCAGGCCTGTCAAGCCCCCGTCGTACGAGATACACCAGCAGACTAGGGGTAGCCAAGAGATGCTCTCTGTAGCTGTAGTAGATGAGCAAGGGTGGTCCAAACAACAGAAAGACAACAGGCCTATCTATCACCCAAGGGGTGGAGAACTGCAGAGACAAGACTATTTCGCACAACACTCCGCAATCTTTGGCATGGAGCCCCCCGGTTACATCCCGCCCCCGTCTTATAAGAGAGCCCCGCCCCCGATCAGGGGAGGCCCAATCAACCGCAACGAAGTGGTGAACTATAAGTGGAGGGGGGAGATGCAGATACAGATGCAGATGCCTGTGAGCTCAGAGGCGGGAAGGTGGTTTTCCAGACAGACAGGAGGGTCGTGGCTGGAACACTACGGGGATCGAGGTATACCCTACAGGAAACAGGTTAACCCTAACCCGAATCTGAACCCTGGATACACCGAGGAACATCTGGGGCATGTTCACTATTTACCCTTTGATGATCTGCGAGTGAGACACATCTCAGGAGGGCCTGGCGGAAATTCTCTCACTGACTCTGACAAGCTTATCCAAAACATCAACAAAGAGATTCCCTGCGCTAAGGTTTTAGGACAATCTACACATGATAGTGCCTTCCCCCCCCCACCGGGGCTTTCTCTCAATACCGACAGCCGCAAGACATCTGTCAATGACAACGACAGTAGTAGTACTAGATGGTGCAACAGGGGTTTAATAAACAAAGGAAGTGTAGACAGTGTAGCTCCTGATCAGAGCTTTGGTAACTATCCAACAGCTTTTCAGGTTAGACCGCCCCCTCAGCAGACCAGGCTTGTGGACCAAGGTCAAGGTGTGTCAGAAAATGTGACTCAAGTGAAAAAGAAAGAGCCTGACTCATCAGAGAAAGAGAAACCAAGAAAGCCTGACTCAGAGAAATCAGAAAAACCAAGAAAGTCTGACTCCTCAGAGAAAGCAGAGAAAAAGAGCGTAAAAAAGAAACTTAGCGAGACAATATTCTGTTTGGTGTCTGTTCCCATCCCCCCAACGCCAGGCGGTACGTCCCGTGATCAAAACAACAATGATGAGAAGCCGCTAAGCCCAATCCGGCCACCAAGCCCAGTGGATAGTCCGAGCGAGAACAAAACTGGCCACTTAACAAACCAAAGTCTCCAAAGCACATCTTCAGCAGAGGCCGAGCTGCAAGCACTAACCGGTAGCATAGCAAGCAGCAGATCAAGCAGCAAAATAGTGAGAAAACTCCCTATTAAGCCCCCCAAAATAAACCATCACAAGGAGCTGAAACTCTCGGGATCCTGGCCCGGGAACCAGTACCGTGACCAGGAGACTCAAACTAGCCCAGAGGCCCGAAAGCGTCAGCCTCCCCCTCCTCCTCCTCCAGGTCCTGAAAACAAGGAAGCACAAGACCCTCAAGTCCCTGCCCCAGGTACCCCCGACCCAGGCGTCACCCCAGATCCCAGCGGTGTGGGCAGCACTGCATTCAGCTATCCCATAAAAGGGGTGAAGAGCCTGAAACCATCCAGCAACAGCGCCTTTTCCAGGACGGCCACTTTCTCAATCGCCAGCCAGCTGAACAAGAGCACAGTTCAGCCGCCAGCAGCAGCACCACCACCACCACCCTCAGGAAACACGACGGAGGCCAAACCAGCAGCGGCCTGCAGTGGGCAGTTCCTGCTGAAGCCCGTCAGCAGACGGCCATGGGACGCCATCGAGGAGCTAGAGCCTATCAACAAAGAGCTCCAGGATCAGCAGCAACAACAGCAGCATCAGCAGAGCAGCAAGAGGCCCAGTGTTGACCAGTGCATCGAGGACCTCAACGAGGCCTACAAAGACATCTTAGAGCTAGGCACTGCCAGCAATAACGTTCCCAACAATGGTGGCGCTGTGCAGATCCCTGAGCGGATCAAGATAAGGCTGGCGGGGGAGGCGGGGCTCAGCAAACCAAGCAGCCTTAGGCGCAGTATCGAGAGCTGGACTGTGTCCGTCGACCCGGAGTACAGGGAGGTCAAGAGTGCCTTCTCAAGACCCGCTGAAAGAAAGTCAGTGACATTCAGCAAGCAGCTAAGAGAGGAGCTCCCTGTCCCGCCACGCGATCCTACAGGATTCAGAGAATACAGGGTTGTTTCGAATTTGTCACAGAGGAGAAGTAGCTGCAGTGGCAGGTCGGTGAAGCTAGACCTCTCTTCGCCTTCGGAGACACCACCGCCTTGTGACTTTACCGGCCCTAGTGAATTTATTGACTCTCCTAGTGATCCCAGCGAGATCAGAGACTTAAGCCCAACGACGCCAACAACGCACACGGCAGCCGAGGTCCCCTGGGCAGATAGGCAGCCGATGCAGGACGCCTCCACACTTACGAGTCCCCCTGATTATGAGGACATATGTCAGTCTTTACAAAAGACCCGAGACTCAAAAGAAGTCAACAAAACCTTGACGGCCAAATCTAAACTTGGTGGTGGTAGAGGCAATACAGGGCCTCCAGGGGGCACCGGTCTAGACTCTGAAGAGGAATGCCCCATTTGTAAGAAAGAGAGCGAGAGCCAGATGTCCAGACCAAGCCCAATGTCTCCGCTCCACGAGGAGTCAAGCCCAGACTTGTCCGATCAAAGTAGCGCCACGATCGTCGGTGACAATGGTAGTCCACAAGGAGCTGAAACATCTGAAGAACCAGCTGAGGATGAAGGAGACACAAAGGTATCCTCTGACTCTTGCTCGAATCATTCAGAGGCTCAGACTCTGTGTCAAGGTTGGAGGGAGCAGCTGTCCCTCACAGATGATAAGAATGTGGGTGGGAGTGCTACTGCTGAGAAGACCAATCAAAACCAAGCTCTGGCAGTGGCAGATGATCTCAACAATCTATACGAAGTGAAATGTGCCGAGGGCATCCCAGAGAACGAATCCATAGAGGAGAGGGCAGCCAGGATATTAGGGATTGATGTGCCTGCAGAGTCCCTAGTCACAGAGGAGCAGAGGGCTAGAGAGCCGGCAACAGAGGAGATTGAATTAACAGAGAGTGAACCCACTGCTGGAGAAGATCCAGAAAGAAGCAGTGCAAACGGAACAAACAGTACAAAAACATGTGAGAGATACAGAGTCTGGGGAACTGGGGTCTACAGTGTCTACGGTGCCTGACAGTGGGCAGGAGTTACAAGAAAAGGAGCAGCCACAGGATACCCCAGAGCGCATCAGGAGTGCCAAATGGACTCATCTGGGTCGAGAAACTCCAGGTATGCTGGAGTTTCCACCAGACAGACTGCCACTTTCGGTCCCCATCAACCCCGACCAGAAGCTGTCTCACAGTCTGGAGGGAGAGAGGAGGGGCAGAGGCGCCTCACAGCACATAGAGGCCCTGCAGGACAAGCTGGCTGCCTCGCCCAGCCACCAAGTGGCGATAGAGCACCTGGCTCGGATGAAAGTGGTGGACTCTGTGTCCCGCATGAGACTCAGCATCAGGAGCACAGACTCTGGGGAGGGGGGGGAGGCAGACGGGGAGGCGGAGGGGGAGGCCAGGGGTGGCGTTGAACAAGTGGAAGAGAGCGCTGTCCTCCCTGCTCCCTCCCAGAGTGACACAGTGGACGATCGAGAGGTCAAGCTAGAGGACGATCGAGAGGTCAAGCTAGAGGACGATCGAGAGGTCAAGCTAGAGGACGATCGAGAGGCCTCTGAAGATACAGTGTTGCAAGATGAGGAGGTGTCATCTGTCTCGGGTAGCTACTACATGCATTTGTGTTTTGTTCAATTTATTCAAGTATTCTTTTCTGTCGAGCTGTGTTACATGTTTATTCTGAAAATGAGAGTGTTTCACCAGGAATTAATAATTTAATGTTTTGTTTGTTACACATTTGTGATACCTTTTCACTGCCAAATGTGACTACACAAACATTGTTGGCTGTGACTATAATGAGTTATACTTTATGGTGCATGTATTTCAAGCAGTGAATTGTGGCTGTTATTATGGACTCTTGCCACAAGATGGGGCTATTGTACCTACAATTCAAATCTACCACCACACACAACTGATTAACATTATTTTCATTCATTTTGAAGACATTTCTATGTATGTGAAATACATTTAGGATATGTTATGATGACTGTCACATGATATAGGCTACGTCCCAAATGGCATCCAATTCCCTATATCGTGTACTAATTTTAAACCAGGCCCATGGAGCTTTGGTCAAATGTAGTGCACTTTATAGGGAATAGGATTCCATTTGGGACGTAGCCTATATAATGTGACAGTCATCATAACATATCCAAAATGTATTTCCACATATTCACTCTAAATGATAAAGTGTATCCCTTCTTTCTGTGTATTGTACCAGAGGCCTGAGACCCAAGCCCAGTGGATAAAGTGGAGAGAGACTGAGACGCCCGTCATCTTTCTCCATCTTGAGGTTTAGCTCCCTCCAACACTGTGACCTGGCTGCCCACTAGAATGCCTTCATCTCATCCCAACACAGAAACGGCCTTCTTCTCCGACAACAGCATTGTGTACACCCTCACCCTCGGCGTCGTTGAGTACCAAGAGTGTTCCACTGCCAAAAGGGAGGCGTCCCCCTACCAAGGGGCTGCTTCCAACTAACCCCCCCCCCCCCCCATCTCCCCTTTACCTCCCCCCAACCCATCCTCTAATTGGGTTTCTACTAGGAGGCGTTCCAAATGGCACCCTATTCCCTATATAGTGCACTACTGGGCCCTGGTCAAGAGTAGTGCACTGCATAGGGATCAGGGTGCCATTTGGGACTCACTCCTAGTCTTCTTGTAGCAGCTTGTCCTTTCTCCTTTTCCCCCTAGATGCTTTTCATTGGCTGACATTATGCAATTCTGTCATGCGTATAACAACCTAAAAAAAAAAAAAAAATCCATAGTGAATACAGTTAGCTGACTCATCGTTCACACGCTGTGGGATTCTGTTTGTTTATTGCCAAGCTATTTAGATATGAATGTAAACACGTTTTACACAACAAAGTAGATATAGGAGTCATAAAAGCTGTTCCGTTACAGTCGATTACACCAAAATATTTACATTTGATTGTTATGGACGGAGAGAAGTGAGAAATGTATTATATTGGACATTAATGTCTTTGGCTCGAGAACTGTTTTAATTTTCAGATGAATCGATCGATCAATCCGTCAATCAATCAATTAATCAATCAACCAATCAATCAGTCTATTATTATTTTGATACATTGTGGCCTGTCTGTCTCATCGCTTTCCCGTACACTGTAATCATAACCCATAGAGCTCTTCAATGAAGAGTGACTCTATACCTACCGTATGTCAGGGTTAGGGTCAATTCAAATTCAAGTCAGTCATTTCAGGAAGTAAACTGAAATTCCAATCTATTTTCAATGATTTCTCAAGAAATTGAACATGAGAAGCTATTTATTAAACAAGTTTTTCCATTTATGAATGTTCACTTCCTGAATTGAGTGACTTCAATTTTAATTGACCTCAACCCTGATGTGGCAAAATGATAAATCAGTGAAACGTATTTTGTGAGGCATTGGTACTACATTATGGGTGGGTTGGGGGGGGGGGGGGGGGGGGGTTGCCTAGTGACAGTCTGTTTGTGCTGTCATGCCAACTCCTTGTCACTCATTGGCTTGACAATGTGCAATGGAGTTGACGAGAGCACAAACAAATCTGGCACCAGGCGTTGCCTTCTGTATCCAGATGTGCATTTATTTATAGGCTGGATCAGGTTACAAGACCACTGGGTAGTTAAATCAATGTTTTAAAAAAAATCTATCTGGTGTATATTAGCTCTATTTCCCAGGTAATTTCAGGAAGCAATAATGGTATGGAGTGTGCTAGTTTGAGTTGTAAACAAGAATTATATGGACGTAGTAAAAAGATTAGAGCAATATTGTCGTACAAACAGCTTAGTTGCTTAGTCAGTGGAGCTGGGAACCATTGTCAGGAATCTCATTGTCCAAGTCCAAAATGGCACCCTATTCCCTATATAGTGCGCTACTTTAGACCAGTGTCCAATGGGCCCTGGTTAAAAGTAGTGCACTAAATAGGGAATAGGGTGCCATTTGTTTAAATCATCCCACAGCTAAATGGAAATGTGCCACGGTATACTGAGTGTGGGCGAGTGTTTATTTCATTGAAAACATTAGTGGCCATACATGTGTATCGTGTTAAGAGACTACATTTCACTAAATATACATTTTTGTTATCATTGAATTGTTAATCAGTTTGCATAATGTACAAAATAAAGTATATTTTAAATATTTTAAGAGATATTTTGTATTTAACCATTCTATTTTATTTCTCCACACTTTGATCACAAGTTGAAAGTATCATATTGTCTGTACAGTATCATATTGTCTGTACAGTATCATATTGTCTGTATAGTATCATATTGTACAGTATCATATTGTCTGTACAGTATCATATTGTCTGTATAGTATCATAATGTACAGTATCATATTGTACAGTATCATATTGTCTGTACAGTATCATATTGTCTGTACAGTATCATATTGTCTGTATAGTATCATATTGTACAGTATCATATTGTCTATACATTATCATATTGTACAGTATCATATTGTCTGTACAGTATCATATTGTCTGTACAGTATCATATTGTCTGTACAGTATCATATTGTCTGTATAGTATCATAATGTACAGTATCATATTGTCTATACATTATCATATTGTACAGTATCATATTGTCTGTACAGTATCATATTGTCTGTATAGTATCATAATGTACAGTATCATATTGTCTATACATTATCATATTGTACAGTATCATATTGTCTGTACAGTATCATATTGTCTATACAGTATCATATTGTCTGTACAGTATCATATTGTACAGTATCATATTGTCTGTACAGTATCATATTGTCTGTATAGTATCATAATGTACAGTATCATATTGTCTGTACAGTATCATATTGTCTGTACAGTATCATATTGTCTGCACAGTATCATATTGTACAGTATCATATTGTCTGTACAGTGTGATATTGGCTGTACAGTATGATATTGTCTGTACAGTATCATATTGTCTGTACAGTATCATATTGTACAGTATCATATTGTCTGTACAGTATGATATTGTCTGTACAGTATCATATTGTCTGTACAGGATCATATTGTCTGTACAGTATCATATTGTCTGTACAGTATCATATTGTCTGTACAGTATCATATTGTACAGTATCATATTGTCTGTACAGTATCATATTGTCTGTACAGTTTCATATTGTACAGTATCATATTGTCTGTACAGTATGATATTGTCTGTACAGTATCATCTTGTCTGTACAGTATCATATTGTACAGTATGATATTGTCTGTACAGTATGATATTGTCTGTACAGTATGATATTGTCTGTACAGTATCATATTGTCTGTACAGTATCATATTGTACAGTATCATATTGTCTGTACAGTATCATATTGTCTGTACAGTATGATATTGTCTGTACAGTATCATATTGTCTGTACAGTATCATATTGTACAGTATCATTATGTCTGTACAGTATCATATTGTCTGTATAGTATCATAATGTACAGTATCATTATGTCTGTACAGTATCATATTGTCTGTACAGTATCATATTGTACAGTATCATATTGTCTGTACAGTATCATATTGTCTGTACAGTATCATATTGTACAGTATCATATTGTCTGTACAGTATGATATTGTCTGTACAGTATGATATTGTCTGTACAGTATCATATTGTCTGTACAGTATCATATTGTACAGTATCATATTGTCTGTACAGTATGATATTGTCTGTACAGTATGATATTGTCTGTACAGTATCATATTGTCTGTACAGTATCATATTGTACAGTATCATTATGTCTGTACAGTATCATATTGTCTGTATAGTATCATAATGTACAGTATCATTATGTCTGTACAGTATCATATTGTCTGTACAGTATCATATTGTACAGTATCATATTGTCTGTACAGTATCATATTGTCTGTACAGTATCATATTGTACAGTATCATATTGTCTGTACAGTATCATATTGTACAGTATCATATTGTCTGTACAGTATGATATTGTCTGTACAGTATCATATTGTCTGTACAGTATCATATTGTACAGTATCATATTGTCTGTACAGTATCATATTGTCTGTACAGTATCATATTGTACAGTATCATATTGTCTGTACAGTACCATAATGAGAGTATATACTTTTCTAGTGCTTTAAAAAAAAGAAAAAAGATTGACATAAAGAAGGATTGACCTTAGAAGCAAAGCTGGGTGCAGTGTGCCTTGATCAAAGCTGGGTGCAGTGTGCCTTGATCAAAGCTGGGTGCAGTGTGCCTTGATCAAAGCTGGGTGCAGTGTGCCTTGATCAAAGCTGGGTGCAGTGTGCCTTGATCAAAGCTGGGTGCAGTGTGCCTTGATCAAAGCTGGGTGCAGTGTGCCTTGATCAAAGCTGGGTGCAGTGTGCCTTGATCAAACGGTCATTCTGTTCAGTGACAAGATGAGGGTTTATATTCCTTGTGATTCTTGACTTAATGGGAAATTCTGATTGTGCCATGAGTTCCTATTTGTAGTGCATTTTCACATGCTGTCTGAAAAACAGTTGAACATTTGATCCATCGATCCATCTCAGCTGTGTTCTTATGTTTATGGTCAGTTGTGACCTGCAGTGTTGGGGTCAATTACATTTCAATTCAGGAAGCTAAATGAAATTAAAATAAAAAATGTTCACAATGCCTCTGTATTGGATATTTTTTTTTTGGGGGGGGGGGGGGGGGGGGGGAATAATAATTTTATGTATTTTCTGGAATTAACTGAATTGAAATGGAATTGACCCCAACCCTGATGACCTGCCTTATTGTTGTCTTTGTCTTCCAAGCCAAATCATGTACTGTTGTTTTGTCGCTGATTCATAGCAACATGTTTAGAAATAAAAATGAAAAAAAATGAAAACATTATTTTATTCATGCAACTTAACATTTCTTTCTTTCTACATTGAGTGAATTTTGTGTTTTAGACTGCTGTCAATGATACAATGGTTAGTGGAGGGTGTATAATGCATTGCTAAAGGTGCACATTAATGCTGTTTTACTATTTGTCAAAGGTGAATACATACTGTTCAATAATCACATCGTTTTATAACGTATACTGTAATGTAGCATTATTGCGGTTGTAGCATTTAATTGACTTAGAACTTTGTCTTAACTACGCTTAATTGTCCTGACCAACATTATTTTATTTTAATTTTTTTATAATCATGTCTCCGCCATAGGCAATTTCGGCATTACATTATAATTAAGGCCAAATAATTACTAATTGCACACTGTTTCATAATTGTAGGTTTTACAAACAACTTATTGTTCTGCCATTTCTGAAGCCTGAAAGGTAGCAATGTTGTTGAACATAGTGACTGCACTTCCCTTTCTTCACTGTGCTAGGGTCTTTCAATCAATCAGGAGAACAGTGCCGTTAGTCAAACAATACATAGACTTCAAAAAATGCACAAACTCCCATTCAAAACAACTATAGGCGGAGCATTCAGTAGTTCATTGATTCAGTAGTTTATTGATCAATTGAGTCCATTGATCAATATCATTG